TTCGTAGCTTAAGACTTTTGCTTTTTTTAGAGGTCTATATTTTCTAGTATCATGATTTTCAAACCAGCTGTCAAAGTATATTACTGTGTTTGACTTTACAATGTTTAGTAAATTTTGATATGTTGCCATTAAAATATTTACACTGAAAAAATCTGTGCGACAAACATAAATTTATATTTTTACCGTTAAATCAGCGATGAGACTGAAAAAGCTCTCTAGGCTCCGTTGCACCGTAAATAAGTTACTGTCTGGTGTGAAGGATGACGGTGGAGCCAATGTTACAAACAATGGTGTGCGACTTTTTGGTGCCTCCCACTCAATATCAATCTTAATTGTTGCAGCGAGATGGTGTAACAAACAATTTGGAGTGTAAAAGCATCACTTTATTGGTATGCATTTCTCGTGACCGAATCGGAATACTTTCGGCGATTGGGTCAGGTCAATGCTTTGTGGTTTACTGGTTTAACAGCAGTTAGTACTAACCAGCTGAAAACCAACATTTGGCTTCCCGATTGATGAGTTAAGTTTGCTTATGCTATAAAAGTGTTGAAAATTTGCTCCGGTAGAATACTGATCTCCTTACTTATGCTTTTGGTAAATAGCCATTCACGGTTTGGTGCCTGATGGGTTCCATTTTGTGTCGAGCTTGTCATAGAGCTGACACAGAGAAAGTGGAAAACAGTTTCCGTACTCCCTTCTAGCTTGCAGCTAAGGCATTTTCAGCACATACTCTCCAAAAGTTCACTGCCTTGTTAGAATAGCTGTAAGTCTGTATACACTATTTCTAAACCTATTTAAAAAGTCCTTGGTTCTAGTCCTGTCATACTTGGAAAATATCTGCTGTTATATTGCAGCTTGTTATTGATTTCCATCGGCTCTAAGCTATTTATTCAAAATGCATATAAAACTCTCTTTTGATCATTTCCAGTGGATTTGTTTAAAGAAGCTCATAGCTCCACCAACTCATTTGCCTTTTCGTTGCCAAAAAGAAGATCCGTGAAGTATACGTCCAACCCTGGTCCGCAGTCCATTTTAGACCAGTCAGTATAGATTGAGGTAGTGTGCTCATCCCTTACTAAATCTCTTCTCCCTTTTCTAGAAAGTACCTCATACGAAAGTGACTATTAAAATCCTTGGAAGGATACAGTCTTGACTTGCCAGACGTGCTGGGAATTCCTGCTTAGGGCGAACGATTTTGCTGGTGAAATTTACGAAACTGGGCTGTCACAGTTTTTTGCCAAAAGCCAAGAGGGTTTCTATGAGATTGGTATTATGAGATTACCTTCAAATTGGCAACAAGTTACCTGCTCGTCTAAACAAAGAGTTTTCAAAAAGTATCTAAAATAATTAAATATGGAATAGAACCCGCAGTAATTATGTATATTTCAATTAATTTATTTTTATTATAGCTTAAATGTTTACTTCTGAACTTACACAAATTAGGATTGCAACTTAACTAATACTTAGTGAAAAAAATTACAAAACTAAGTACAAAATTAGTATTTTAATAATAACATACATACAAAATTTAAATATTTTCACTTTCATGTTTGTGTGTTTGTGTGTGTGTATGTTTGTCACACATACACTCTCCTCTCTAAATATATATATATTTATATATGTATATGTATATGATAAACATTGAAAATATTAATGCTAAGAAAATGAAAATTCACACAAATTTTCTTACAATTTTCTCTCTTATGCTCTTTTGCGCTCTCTCTTTGAAGCAAAATCGTTGCGCCAAAAGTATTATTCAGTAGTATTGAACGCATTTCGGGTTTTCACTTATTTTACTTTAGAGTTTTTTTTTTTAATCTAATTTCACTTAAATTATTATCATTTGTTATGTTAGTTGTTGTTGTATGTTCTTTTCTTTTCTTTAAATAAAAAGCATCGAATTAAAAGAAAATTAAAATAAAAATTCATAAAAATACTGTAGCTTTGTTATTTGTTGCTGTTGTGTGTGTTAGTCAAATTTCTAAGCTTGCTAAGTGTATGTGCTAACGGTTTAACGGTATTTTCGCAAGCGAATTGAGTTGCCGGTAATGCTGCTGGTGGTACATGTGTATGTGTGAGTTAGGTGTGTGTGTGTGTACATGTGCTTATGTGTTTGTATGTGTGTGTGTGTCGGGGGTTTGGGGTTTGTTTTGTAGCGTAAAAAGTTTGCATTCGCTTTTGTACGTTCTTTATGCTGCTTCTTCTTTTTGTTTGTTTTCTTTTGACGTTTTACGATTTTTTATTTTCGTTTTTTCTTTTGTGTTTTTGTTTTGCCTTAATTTTTTTTACTACTGTTTTTGCATGGCTTACGTTTTAGTTTCTTTTTTTAATAAAAGTGGCCTTTTAAACTAATTAAATTTAATTTTAATTTTAAAAAATACTCAAGTGTCATGTATTGTGTTTGCATAAATTTTATATTATTTTTAATAATTTTTCGTTTACTTTAATTTTTTTGTTCATTGTTTGTGGTTTTTCTTTTTAATTTTTTTTTGCTTCATGCAGCGCAGTTGCCCACTTGGAAAATACTTTTAGTTCTTTGTTTTTGTTTAAATTATATTTCGTTTCTACATTTTTCATTTCTCATTAATTATTAATATTAATATTTTTTTTATATTTACTCATATACGCTTAAAAGTATTCGCTACTAATATCAACTAAAACTATCTCATTTATATATGTATATGTATGTATGTATGTATATATGTATATTTTAAATATTATTTTTTATGTAATTTTATTTCTTTTCGTTGGGTGTATATTGTATACATGCAGTAAATTGTATATATATAAATATGTATGTATGTATGCGTTAATTTACTTTACTTTAATGGAAAGCTGCTTTAATTTTGTAATTTTAACTTTTTTATGAATTTTTTTTTTTAATATATACAAGTGTTCGCCCACCAACTGTGTTTGTAAGAAGTGTTTGTTCGTTTGTGTATGTGTATACAAATATAAAAATAATTAATTAGCGCGTAGGTACCAACAAATTCAGCATGTGGTCGCAGCGCTGGCGTTAATGCAATACTTTTATGAAATAATTACAAAACTAAAACGCTCAATTTGTGAGGAAGAAGCGTGTGTGCGCGTTTATGTCAAATGTGTGCATTATTTTGAGTGTTACAGTTACTTTAAGTAAACAGTTAAAAAAAAAAAAAACTATTACAAACCAAATTTTAAATTAAAAAAAATTGTTTATATGTATGTATGTCAGACTACAAATCGTGTGGGCCTAAGCAATTTTTGACAAAAATAAAAGTTAAATAAATAATTTTAAAAATATATAAAATAATACAACAAAAAAATGCAATACAAATATTTTTTAACATCGAAAAAAAAACAACAAAATAAAAAGTATTACATAAATTAAAAATTAAAAAAACAAAAACGTTTAAAATTAAACTATTTAAAAATTAAATTTAAATGGTTAGAGAGAAAATTATTATAATTTTTATTTTAATGTTAAACATTTTATTTATATATAATTTTTTTAATATCAAAAAAACCAAATAAAAAATACTAAAAGGAAAATTAAAATTAATGTAAGGATTAAAAATTGATATATAGAATAAAAAAATTAGAAAAATTTTAAATAGAAAATTTAAAAATTAAATTTGAATAGTTAGAGAAAAATTTAATTTTTTTTTTAATTTTATTTGTTACACATTTCTTTTACTGACAAAAATAAATAAATAAAAATACTAAAAGCAAAAAAGTTACACTTAAAAAATTCCAATTCAATTTATAATTTTAAAATAAAAACTAAAAAAATGTTTTAGAAATTAATAAAAATATTTCAGTTAATTTTCATTAATTTTAAATTTTTTTTAATTTTCAATATTTTTTAATTTAAATTTCAATACATTTCATTGACTCTCCAAAATATACGCTTATGATATAAAAACAAAATTAACAATTTTTTTTTAATTTTAAAACTAAATAAAATAATTTGAATTTTATTAAATTTAAAATAAATAAAAAATCAGGAATCTTTTTTATTTCCTGATTTTTTTTATTTTATTTTTTAAAATTAAAAAAAAATAAAACAAAAATGAAATTTAATTTTAAAAATATATAAAAACTTGTTAAAAAAAAAAATAGTAAAAATATTTCATTTTACAACAAAAAATTTTTAATTATTAATTTTTAATAAAATTGTTCTACATTTCATTTACTGTCCAAAATAAATAAATATAAAAAACTCTAAGCAATTAAAAACTTTAAAGCTAAAATTTAATTTTAAAAAATTAAAAAAGTGTAAAAAATATAAAATTAAAAAAAAAAAATTTTATTTAAAAGCAAAAACTTATATATAAAAAAAAGCTGTATCGTTAATAAATTTAGGTCTTACTAAACCAAAAATTTTATCTCTCACTCTCGAAAGAAAGCAATTTTCCACAAAAATACTTGTACACACACTTTTGGCCCACACTATTACCATTATCTACACGCGCATTTCTCTACACAAATAGTTTAGTTTAAAATTAATGCTCTCTGTTTCTTTTATGCATATCTTTTTTGCTTTTTTTAGCCTTTTACATGATTGCTGATATATTTCGTTACAATTTCTTTATTTTTTTTTCTGTTTCGAAAATAATACATTAGTTATTATCAACATTTCTCTTACTTAACCAACTATGCATATGCACTATATACTACATATGCATGCAAGTTACTATATATATATATATATATATGTATGTATATGTATATTTATAAATACCACATCACTGTTAGTGTTTCTTCTTCTTCTGTTTTATTTAGCTTCTGCTTCTTTATTGTGTTGTGACTGCTTCGTGCTTTCTTCAGTGTCTCACATTGTTGCCAGACTTGTTCATGCAATCGTTAATAATTATGTAATATGCTTAGCCTGAATGTTTGTTTTTATACTGTGCCGAAAGATTCATATGATTTTACTTAAAAGTTTTTTTTGCTCTTTTTTTTAATAAATTTTGAATTTATTTTTATTTTTTTGAATAATTAAAAATTTTAGTTTTCCATTTTTCATATGATTTTTTTCTGCCTTCTACTAACATTTACTCTCTTCTATTTTCACTGCTCCGCATAATTTTTTGAATTTAGATTTAATTTTTGCTTCTCTCTTCTTCAGCTTTGTGTTCACTTAATCACTAGAATACTTGAGGTGGTGATGCATTTGATATCATGAGTGCTTGTCGGTCAACTCAGCCCAGCGCAGTTCGAAAAATTTGCGCATGCCGTGACCCGCCTTACCGACCGGCGAGTCATCCTCATTGAACATTTCACAGTTGTCAAAAATTTGACGGACGTCGACGCAGAAGTCTTCGCGACTTTTATAGCTGTTGGTAATAGAGTGGGATTAGTTGGTTATAATTACAACAGCAATGAAAAAAATATTATATTATATAAAAAAACATATAAATTGACTAAATTTCAATAAATTGAGATTAAATAAATTTAAAATCAATAAAACAAAGAAAGAAGAATTAAGTTCGGATAGAAAAAATATCGTTATATATTAATTTATTAACAAGAAAAAGCGTTAACTTCGATTACACCGCGGCTCATTATAGCCATATCACAGGTACATTTTTATAGTATGCAAGGGTATAAAAAAATATCTTGATTTTGATCGATCAGTTTGTATGGCAGCTATATGCTATAGTGACCCGATATCGGCGAGGCGGACAGTTAGACAAGTCGGCTAAATCGATCCAGCTCATCACGCTGATCTTTTATATATATACTTTAAATCGTGGCAAACTTAATATACCCTGCTCAAGGCATAACAAAAATAATTTAATCTTAAAGCAAATACGTAAAATAAAACAAAAGCAACAACAACAATAATAATAAAACACCAAAGAATTGGTACTCACGTCAAGTCCTGTAAGCGTTTCTTGATTGTGGACAAGTCCATGGGATTTTTAATTATCTTACGATAGGTCGGAAATTGTTTGGTATTCACTGGCAGCAAAAATGGCCACGAATCTTCGTGTAACTGCAAAGTAACGGTATAATTGAAACATAGCTCATAGTCTAGACACTACCAAACACTCACCTCCATTTCGCCAAGCAATGTTTTGCATATGGCCAACTCCTTCATCAGCTTCTTGGTTGCGTGCTTCTCCTTCTTCTCCTGCTTCAGCTTATCTTTCGCCTCCTGCACCGCGTGTATATTTAGCGGAGGCGGCGGTGGTGGTTGTGGTGTACCGCATTGGCTCATTGGCGAAAGGCCGCCAAACTGATGAGCGGCCGGCGATTGTGACTGCGAGTGGTGTCCAACCGTTTGCGGTGAGTGTTGTGTTGGCGTGCTGGCACGCGGCGAGTGCATGTTGGTGGACGTCGCATGATTGCTGCTGTGTTGTGGCGACAAAATCGATGATTGTAGCAGCGGCGACAATTGCGGCTGTTGTTGTTGTTGTTGAACCATGCCAGTTGGCGGCATAATGAGCGGTAGTGTTGTGGCTGGTTGTGGCGATGTGCTGAGAACGCTGGTGGGCGGCAGTAATGTGGGCGGCGGAAGCGGCGATTGCGCGGCTGCATTGTATGGTGACGATGGCGGTGGCAACTGCACGCCACCATTACTGTTCATTTGCAGCTGTGCGAAGTGCTGCTGCTGACTGGCTGTCAGCGCCATATAGTTGACGGGCACTGTAGGCGCGCCACCAGCCGCGCTACTTACTGTTGGCAGGTTGGATGGCGTTACGTGTGGTAGCAACGCGCCACTGGCTGATAGTGGTGCGTGTGGAGTTTGCGGCAGCTGTGATGATGGTGGTGCTGCATAACCGCTTGGTGCCGCGCTATTGAAAATAGGCGGCGCGAGCGGGAGGACGCTGCCAGTCATGGGATTTAACATAGCAGTTGCTGCTGCCGGAGCGCCATCTATGCAGCCATCTGTTGTCGCGTACTCGTTGTTCGTCAAATGAGCACCGAGTAGGTGGTTGTGCACTAGCGGCGTTGCGCCACTAACATCTGGCAACATTGTTGTTGGTGCGCCTATACCTACACCAGCGCCAACATGCATACCCACTGCCAAAGCGGCAGCATTACCACCAACCATTTGTTGTTGTTGCTGTTGCTGATGTTGATGCTGAAAACGCGTCGCGTCAATCGAGTTATTGTGCTGCTGTTCATCGAATGAGGTGGAAGCAATCGAATGCGCCGGACTGCAAATACCAGAGGCGGGTTAGTAACGTCAGGCGTGACATGCGGCGCTGCCTGAGCGACCTACCTGAGCGGCGTTGGTAACGAGGTCATCGATTCGTCATGCGACGAATTCAGCGATAGCTGTGATGAATTGTGCAGGTGGTGTTCCGCCGAGGCAGCTGCCATGGCCTGCGCCTGCGCTAGAACCGCAGCCTGTTGTTGTAGCTGTAATTGGTGTTGCTGTTGCTGATGTTGTGGTTGATGTTGGTGATGTTGTTGCTGATGTTGATGTTGTTGCTGTTGTTGTTGTATGTCTATATTCGATGACGTCGATGAATTGCTATGACGATCGCGTCGCTTCGAGGAGTCACGATCACGTCGCGGTTTACTGCTCGTACGCTTCTTCGGCGGCGGCGCCTTCGTGATGCAACCGTGACAGTACCACTTGCCGCGTGGCACTTTCAACAGCGGCGGTATGTAGCAGTCGGCATGATAGGCGCGCGGACACAAATCGCAATAGATCATTTTGCCAACAGGTGAAGGCCGCAAGCCACCGCAGACGATACATTTGCGTTCGTTCGTCGCCTTATTGACGCACTCATAGCAATACCTGGAAAGTAGTTGTGAAATAAACAAACAAAAAAATGGTGGAAAATTAATAAAATAATAAATTGGAACGTCTTTGTACAATGTAAGAAACTGACTGAACGGGACTTTAGAATGTGGAGCTGAAAACTGTGAATTCAGGGTTTTGGACGTAAGGAGAGTGGACTCGCAGTTTATCCTATTTAAACCTTTTCCTGTCTATATATAAAAATAATCATACAAACTCCAAGCTTAGCACTAGATTTCTTCACATATCGAAGAAAAGGCAGGCGAAGAAAGAAATTTATGCGCGGATAAAAGCGTAATTACTTAGTTTATACAAATAGTGATTATTAAAATAGACGTCGAGATATGTGTATATACTGCCATCAAAGAAACATCATACAATAAAATATCAAGAAATACTTTATGAAAGCTATACTTTTTATAATACAGATACATTTCTATAGACCCGAAGGAATGATCGAAAGTGAAGAGTTGTCAGTTTTCAAGACAATCAATCAAATTTATCTCGAAACGATCCATGCTAGGGTATCTCTGGAAAAGCCTGTTACCTCTGGAACTTGTTGGAATGAACAACAACATAACATAATTGAATTTCAGAGGGCGTTACAAGGCTAGCTCCAATATCAAATTTGACCCGGACAAGTCCTAAAATCAATGTTAGGTTGTTATCTGCTTGCAAGCGTCCAAAATACAAAAAAAATTTTGTATAGAAATACGAAAGGAAAAAATATGACAATATTTCCGATAATAAACGGTAAAACTTCGAGTCGGCTCTATATTAATTCTTGGTTCATAATAAATTTCAATCATGTGGTGATTTCAATGGCCGGAATTATTTAATTTATGCTTCAATTATTTATATATAATATAAACAGCAATTGGACTCTAAACACAGCTAATGTGAAGGTAATTTGATAATTCTTCTTTCAGGTTATGTTGCAAAAACCCCATTTAGCTTTTTTATATTATATAAATGGGAAGAGTCTGGTTTTATATAGTCAGATAGGGTCCACATCTGCAAATTATTAGCAACAAAGTGTCAAAAACGCAACAGAGTTGCTGTACTGTAATAATTATCACGTAACCTATAGTCTTACAGTCGACTCGTAACTCTGGAAAAAGAGCGCTGATTATATTCTTAAGATTATAGAAATCGTCGATAAGGGGTCGCCTTGTCTGAAACCTCGTTTGGTATTGAACGACTCGACGAGGTCCTTCTCTACTCTGATGAGCGCTCAACGTTTTGTAGGGATTCCACATTCAAACATTGTGGCATAGAGGGCGATCCCGTTTTGAGCTATCGAAAGCTCAACTTTAAGTTGTTTTTCTTCGGTGGTCAATGATTGATTTAACAGGTCGGAACCCCCATTGATAAAGTGCAATTAGTTGGTTAGTCGATGATATCTTCTGCGTGAAATTCAGAAGGCTGAATCCGCGTTAGTTGGCGCAGATTGTGGGGTCGCATTTCTTGTTTATAAGGCAGAGCAAGCAGAAGCAGGTTCCAGTCACTGGGCCTGCATTCTTTCGACCATATTTTGGCAGAGGAGTTAATGCATGCGCAATACCAGCTCCTCGCCACCGTGTTGAATAACTCGGCCGGTAGACCATCGTCGCCTGCGACTTTGCTGTTTTTAAGCCGGGCAATGACTTTTCGAAACAACCTCATTTATATACATTAAATACAAGTACATGTACCCACTCTTTCCCAACCTTACATAACCTCTTTTAGTAAATACATATATTTATTAATTTCGGCAAAAACTCGAGTGGTTTCGTTATAAACTAAATGAAGGGTAACATAATGATATGGATATGAGTTAGCAGAAAACCCAGAACTAGCAAAAACGCTCTATAAATGATGATTATTTAGTCTTATGATAAGGTGTTAGAAATTGCTTAATCTGTCGAACTCCGATTTTAAGGTTAAATATATACAGAACATATTTCGTGGTATCGATATTAGTAATTTTAAATTTCTATAATCTTTCAGTCTCCTAAAAAAGTTTATCATTGATTAAATTAGAAATTTTGAGATCTTCACAGGTCTAGAAAGCCCAACCGGTTATTATTATTGTGTAAGTCTCAAATACTTTTGGAACCGACAATCCTTGGATGATAATAAATACAGTTTCATGCCGGTTAAGTAGCCCCGTCTATTTTGGCACTCACCATTCCCCTGATGAACTAGTTACGATACATATGTGCTCTTGTATGTATATGAATATGAAAATAAGTGTGTAATACTCACCAATCACCGTCGGGTATATTGTCCATTTTCGGTTTGAAGCAGTAGGTGTGATAGCCTTTGTCGCAACCGTCGCATAACAGTAATTTATCCTCGTTCTCGCCAGATGTGCAAAACTGGCAATACTGTAATAATATGGAAGAGCGTGCGTAGAAGATGGAAGATGCGTGGTGGAAGAAGAAGAAGATCAAATTGTTGTTATATGCTGTTTGTTATGTTGTTGTAGTTGCACAGTTGCAAGTGTACACACACATACATACATACAGACAGACACACTTGAGCAAGTGGCAGTTACCTAAATTGTTGTTTTTGTTTGTTTTGTTTTGCTTTGCTTTTAAACGCTATATTTGTTGTTTTATATTATTGTGAATACCATTTGCCTTAACGCTATTCTTTACTACAGTTGTTGCTGTTGTTGTTACTGTTAGATTTCATAATGAAAGTGTTTTACTTTAAAATAAACCGAGTATTTTCGAAAGTGTATAGCTAAAAGCCCCGAGTAATTTTTTGGTTCAATTCCTTTGTTTGTTTTTTAGTTGTTTTTGTACTTTTTTTATTTGTGCTTTTATTTGCAATTTAGAAATTTGATTGCGCCGCCTTTCGCGCCCTTTGCGCCTTGAGCTCAGTCTTATCTGCGCCGCTTGTGCTTTTTGTTGCTAGAGCTTCTCGTCTTCTTCGCATTATTCTCATTTTGCGCTTTCACATTGAACTTGATTGTCGTGGTTAGCGGCGGCTTAGCGCCATTGACATTGCCATGCTGATTAGCGCCACCGGTGGACTCGGCGCCATTCAAACTGCCGCCGCCGTTCTCGACGCAACTCGTAGCGATCACTACGCCGTTCATACGCGATGCCTTCGCCGGTGAACCACTCAACGTCACGTCGGCTTCCTCTTCACTTTGTGAGCCCAGTTCATGCTTCTTCTTCTTGCGCTTCTTATGCTTGTGCGATTTGGCGCGCTTATGTGACTTCGGCGTGCTCGGCTGCCGCGCGTCGTCGTTAACTTTTGTTTTGGTGCGCTCCGGCTCCTCACTTGTCACGTTTGCTGGCGCCTCATGCACACTTGCGCTGCTGTTGCTAGACTCCTCCTCCACCGGTGTGTCCTCGCTGAACGGACTTGGTGGCTCGACGTAGCTGATCACATAGCCAGTGGTGGGTGTCTTGGCTTTGCGTTGATACCTGAAACGTGAGGACGGTGTAGTTTGCGTCTTTGGTGATTGCGCTGCCGCTGCTGTTGTAGTTTGCGTCTTTGCTTTTTTGCTTGCTTTTGACGCGTTGGAGTTCATCGCTTGTGGCGCGGGACTTTCACGCTTTCGCTTGCTGTACGTTTCGGCGCGTTTTGCGCTTGCTGGCGTCTTGTCTTGGTTAGCGCCTTTCTTTGCCGCTTTGGTTAGTACGCTGGTTGGTGTGGAACGCGGTGTGGGCTGCGCAGGCGCTTTGTCTTGCTTCTTTTTTGTGGATTTGGCTTTTGGAGGCGGTTCATTTTTGCTACTTTTGGATTTTTTATCTTTTGTCGACTTGTTCGCTTTAGCTTTGGTCTAACGGTTTTTGATTTTGTGAGTGTTTTGGAATGTGTGTATGTGTGTGAGTTAATGAAGGTGTGAGTTACAGAAATATATATGAACATATGCAAACATGACAAGCAACATATTCACCAAATATTATTTTTGTGTTTGTTTGTTTTTTGTAGTTGTTTAAGTCAAAACCGTTCAACAGCAACGTGCAACAAAAGACACGAGCAGAAGCATAGAACATAAAAAGCGTGTTTTTAAATGCGTTTTCGGCGCGCACACACACACGCGCATATATGTATGTGTGTGTTTATATTTGTATAGGCATTCACATACAAATTAAGTGAATTATAATTGAAATTATTTTATTTTATTTTTTTATTTAATTTTTTTTTTTATTCAAAAACAACAACAATTAATCGCGTTATCAAAGTTTGTAAAAAGAAATGAAAGGAAAAAGAAAGAAAAAAATTATGCAATTAGTTTTAACGAATTTTGATAAACAATCGAGATAGAGCAGGCAGTTTTTTGCTTTCTTTCTAATAACAACAACAAGCAACTATTACTATGTACTTTTTAAGGCAAACGGTAGCATTTTTTATGTGGAACTCAAACTAAATTTTGCTAATTGAATAAATGAGCAACTACTTGAAATAAATAAAAAATTAAAGTGATGAAAAAAATTAAAAAAACTAAAAACTTTTTTTGATAATTTTTAATAACCGAAAAAAATTCCGAAGCTTATGTCCAGCTAGTCGCATTTTATATATTCATTTCATGCAAGCAAAGTTACAAAAAACTTGAATTTAAATGATTTTATAATTTTATGAGGGTGATCATCAAAGTTTCGAAAAAAATATTACATATTTTTAAGATCAAACTTTTTTTAAAAATGTTTTAATGTGATGAGGTGAAAATGAAATGGAATGAGGAGAGTTTAACTTAACAATTAAGAATGCCTCAAGCCAGTCAATTTCGTAACAAACAAAAGGAAATGTGTCTTCAAAAGTTTCATGCGATATTTTTTTATGAGTTTTTAATGAGTTGATGACTTTTTTGCAGCGATGAATTCTTTGAAGATTTGGCCGGAGCCAAAACCAAGTTTAAAAAATTACGTTAGTGTGGTCCTAAAACATTTATACTTGTAGTATTGCAAGAATATCTTATGTCATTCATAATGATATTTCCGGTTTACTGTTCTTTCCCCTTCCCTTATTTCCGCTTAAAACTTTGGTTGACTTGAAGAAAAGCATACAGTTTTTTTCTAATCCTTGCGAAAGCAAATAAAATGACTCAGAAGGTTGTAAAAGAATCATGGAAAGTTTAAAATTGACATCAAAAAGGTGTTACATATGACCAAATTGTCATATTATTGCGATCTTCCTTGATCGGTCAGTTTGTATGGCAGCTATATGCTATAGTTGTCCGATATCGGCGGTTCTGACAAATAAGCAATTTCTTGATAAGAAAAGGACATGTGCAAAATTTCAGGACGATATCTCAAACTGAGGGACTAGTTCGCATATATACATACAGACAGACATAGCTAAATCGACTCAGCTGGTCCCGCTGATCATTTATATATATGTATATACCATATTTTATAAGGTCTCCGCATTTACTTTTGAGTGTTACAAATATCGGGGTTAACTTAATATATCCTTTTCAGGGTATAAAAAGGAAAAAACCGCAGCTCTCTAAAATCATTATACCGATTTTTGGCGCTGTGGCCAAATTGTCAACATACACATTTTTTTATATCCACAAATAAATGTAAAAAAAAACTTAAAAGAAAGAAATTCGATTTATTTTTATTACTCATGGAAAATATTGTTCAAGTTAGGTCTTTTCTGAAGACTAGTCTAACCAATTTTTCTGTGAAGTAATCGAATGAAAATACTATGAAACTTCGAAAACTTCAAAAAAAAAATATTGTTTATGGTAATGTACACTCATTTTGTCTGTATTCCGGAAAAATGTACTTCACGCAACACTTTTCAATGAGTCATTGTTTATTTAGGAGCCTTGATCTCAAATTACATTTCACGGGCAACGAAATGAATTTGCAAATGATACTCCAAGAGCTTTTCAAGGAAATTTAGAGGTCAGAGAGATAAGGCACAATTACACAACGTTTCAATTGATTATAATCGACATTTTATTTTACCATATGAGATAGATATTTCAGATTAACTCATAATTCATTCTGGTATGATAAAAAGTTTCTCAGTAATTTCACTCATTTTCATTCCTTTTATTATCATAATTGTTTTGTTCTTAGAGAAATAAAGGAGAATCTAGTACCAACATCAAAGAGGCATTATCAAAAAAGTTTACATTTGACATTAATTCTTTCAAAAACCACTTAACCCCAAATTAATAGTAAAACTTTACATAAGAATCTATATAAATAAGAAAAGTCCTGTTAGTTACACCATTTATAACTCAAGAACGGCTGTAACAATTTTGAAGGTCCTTGATTTGCATAAGAATTCTACAAATCTGCGCCCCGAATAGCATTATAACCATTAAATGATCGGAAAGATAAAAAAATTCATTCTAGAAACATACTTAAATACATAAAAAATACTTGAATCAAAAGTTAAAAAAAAGTAAAAAAAACAAACGGAAACTTCGGCTGCACCGAAGCTATATTACCCTTCACATGTGCATTTTTTATAGCATAAAAGGGTATAAAAAGATCTTTATCTAGAGTGTGATTGGCAGCTATAAGCTATAGTGGTCCGATCTTAACAATTTCTTCGGAGATTATAGCGATGCTTTAGAGAATAATCCATGCCAAATTTCGTGATACCTTGACAAATAAAAGAGTTTTCCATAGAATGACTTGATTTTAATCGGTCAATTTGTACGGCAGCTATATGTTTTAGTTCTCCGATATTGGCGATTCCGACAAATAAGCAGTTTCGGAGCTGAGGAACTAGACTACAGACAAACAGGCGGACAGACATACGGATATGGCTAAATCGACTCAGTTCGTCACGCTGATCAGTTATATATATTTTTTATAGTCTGCGACATTTCCTTTTAAGTGTTACAAACATCGGGGCAAACCTAATATAACCTGTTCAGGGTATAAAAATATATATAGACGAATTTACTATAACGTTCTTTGATAACTAAAGCTATGTGAGCTAGAAAAATGCGTCGAAAAGAAGAAACATTTTCAGTATGTGGCAGCTTTTTTTCTGTTCTTCTTCTTATCAGAAATAACAAAGAATTAAAGTCGCTCAAAAACAAAGATTTGAGGCCTACTATATATTACGCTTATTAAAAAAAAAAAGAATGAAAATAAACAATGCAGCAACAACAACAACTCATTACAATTATATATACCTACAACAAACGATGATAGCGAGCACAAGTGTTGTTCGTGTCGTACACGCGTTTGTTTGCATGTGTATGTGTGTGTGTTTTATAAATGCGTTAAATACCGCAAATTAATAAATCATAACAAAAAAGTAAAGTAAAAAATAAAATTAAATTAAATTAAATAAAACAAAAGGAATAGAAACAAATTTTCGCCACTCTTCTGTTAATAAAATGTTTGCTTTTGCATACTGCGCACTTACCGCTTTCATTATGCTCTTGTCCCAGGCGACACACGACTCCAGCACGTAGAGCGCCATCGCCAGCTGCGCTGTGGTGTGCGAACGCGCGACCGCATCGCGCCACGAAGCCAAGCCTTTGGGTATATTCTCCACCTTCTCGTCCTTCTCACTATCACAATTGCTCGCCGGCGAGTCGCCGCCCGAATTGTTGCCGCTCGTATTGGCTGTGTGACCGCCCGCAGCATCGCCGCTCGCATTGCCAGCGGCAGCAGCGGCTGCGGCAGCATTTGCAGCCGCTATGGCCATGGCGCGCTCATTGAAGGCCGAAGCGTTGATGACATTCTGTGTTTGTTGCGTTTGCATATTGATCAGTTGTTGTTGGGCAGCAGCAGCTTGTTGTTGTTGCATTTGCAGGAGAAACGCCGCAGCAGCAGCAGAGTTCTGTGTCTGTGTGGTGGTGTGCTGATTTTGTGCGATGACCGCCAAATGCGCGTCACCTGTTTGCGAGCCGAGCGGCGGTTTCAAGTAGCGACGCTCAATGTTCGCCTCCAGATCGATGATGCGTTCACGTATCATTGGTATGATGCTGATGAAATCTTCTTCGGTGATATCTTCCAGTTCTAGATTGATTTCGTTTTCAATGCGCGGCGGTAGCTGCCAATTCTTCAGTTGCATAGAGGCGCTGGCGATTTTGTCCTCCAAAGCTTCGAGTTGATCGAGCAGCGCGAGTTCGGTGCGTTTGGCAATCTTTGGATTCCAATCGTGTCGTTTGTCCGGTTGCATGTATGGCACATCTTCGCCGGGTTTGCTTGCAAGTGGATATTTGATGCCGATGGTGGGCGGATCTTCTTGTTGCATGAAACGCAAGAGATTCTCTTGTAGGTCGCGTTCGCGTAAACCGCTCGGATCGAGCGAATCGATGACGCGTTGCAACATTTCGAAAGTGTCGATCTTCCACCAGCCGTAGCGTAGATCACGTGGTACATATGCACCGACCAATTTTTTGGGAAAACCTTCTTTTTTTACTTCCTCTAATAGCTTTTGCTCTTCCGGTGTCATTGAAAGCGGCGTTTGCACGTCGTATTGCAGGAATGTGGTGAGATTTTGCAGTGACATATTGGCTAAATTCTGTATAGACATGCCGGCGATGTCGTCCATGCGTATTTCCAGTCTGACCGTGTTGAAGTCGTGCTCTTTGGCTTCACCGTTGGCAGCATCGTTGGTTTCTTTGTTCGGCTTACACTCAACACCGCTCTCGGCTTTTGTATCATTCAAATATGGAAGAAACTTCTTCTCTTCCGCGCGTTCCTCTTCATGCTCCTCACTTTTCACGGCGTCTGTTTTGATGGCTGGCGTTGTTGTTGATTTCGCAGCAGCTGCTGCTGATGTGGATGGTTTGCAGTCGCTTTCGTACTTTTGCTCATCCTCTTCCTCCTCATCACCGCTCTCCGCGGCATCCTCACTCTTCAATCGCTGACGAGGAGACTCTAGGCAGTTTTTTGAGTCCGCCGGTGATGCCAACACTGTATCTGCATCGGTGCCTTCGGCGGCCGCGTTTGCTGCTATAAGCATTTTCTGCTCATATTCACGTAACTTCGTCTCCATTTGTTTCTCGTCTATACCGGAAAGCGATAGTATGCATTCCTGCACGAATTTTGTTGGATCCACTTTGCATTCGTCCAGTGTTACGTTGAAGAACGGCACGACATTCTGCACCTCCCACGGATGGCCCTGTGTCTGGAAGAGAGAGTCGCATGAGATATTTGCGATAGACATCTTGTACTCTTTGAGGCTGGCTTCATCCATCGGCTCGGTCGACATCAATGGCAATTCGCGATCGAGTATCGAAAACCACTTATCTGAGACATTTACCGGCTGTTTGAAGAGGGCGTCATCGGCGCTCGTGGCCGACACGATAATGCAGTCATCCTCCTTCTTTAAGTCCTCGGCCTTCACAACGCTATCGATAATGGCTGCTGTTGTGCTGCTCACATCCGTGACGCCAATGCTACCAGCAGCATTGCCTGGAACGCTGGTCATCATAGAGTTGATAATGTTGCTGTTGCTGCAGCTGACGATTGTGTTGTTGGCGTTGCCTGGTAATCCCGTTACTGCTGGCAGCGACATCGGTAATGGCATTGGCATCGGCATAGGTGTTGATGTCGGTGTTGGCATCGTCATCGGCGACGCTGAGCCAGACGCTGACGGCGACAACATTGCAAACTCATTTTTATCACAGTTTTTTTCGCCGATAACATTTGCCGCCGTGGCGTTGGCATTGGCTGCAGCTGCAGCGGCTGCGGCAGCAGCAGCAGCGGCGGCAATTGCTGCATTGAATTGCGCTGGTATGGCTGGTATTTTGATCTCGGCCTCGAAGTCGGTCTTGGTGGAGATGGTGGCTGCGTCGACATGTGGCTTTTTACTCAAGCCATAGTTGTCCACATCGATGTCCATGCGCTTCGGCGCCGGTATTGTGGCGGTATGCACGACGTCATCATCGTCGTCATCATCATCGCGCAAATCTACAATCTCCGGTTCGTCTTTGCTAGTTAGCACGACGTCGTCGTCGTCATCGTCTATCACTGCAGCTGGCGTCATGTTGCAGACATCGCCATTGGTGTTGTTGCTGGTGTTTATGACAGTTGGATTGGTCACAGTTGTGGTCACGTCGGCTATGTCATCGATTTGCATTTTTTCATCTGTCTCCTTCACAGGTAAAGTTGTAGCTGTGCTCTCCACACATTTGCCTGCATCGTCATCAGTTTTACATATGTTCCCACTCTCCTTGTTGCAATCGACCTCAGCGCCTTCGTCAGCATTCTCTGTATCTGCACCCTCCTCATCAGCCTCTTCGCCGTCCTCCTCTTTGCATTCCTGTTTAGCCTCACTTTCGCCATTCAACAGTTTAGCGGCACGCGCCTCTTCCGCTTCCAACTCCAAAATTTCCTGATAGTGGAATATATCATTCTGTGCAGATTCCAATGCTTCGATGAAAATACCGCCTGCTTTCGGCAACTTCCAATAGCGTCGCCAGAAACGATCTTGTCCAAAACATGTGGCGCGCAGCTGATTCGTGCTCTTCTCCAGCAACTCTTTGCAATTCATGGACGCGCGTAATATCTTATCGAGCTTTTTCTGTAGCTCATCCGCGCTCAAACGATTGTCCTCGTCTTCCTCTACATTTGTAATCTCCGATTCCAAGTCGCTGAGATCATCGTCCAAGCCCACATCGGTCGGCATTGTCTGCTCATCGTTGCCCGTCTTTTTTGGCAACAGATTAGTCAAATCAGACGGCGTTGCTGCGTGTGCCATTGCTGTTGTAGCGCAAACGCCGGACAAACCGGTTGGCATGCTGGCGATGCCATTCTGATAGGCTGGCACACCAACGATGGACTCATCTAACTTGGGTTGCTTGCTGGGCGTCACCGCGTTATCGCTGTTGTAGCCTTTTGTGGGGCTCACATCGTACTTTAGACCGTCGAAGACGTTGGGTAACGTTGGCGTCGGCAACGCATGTGGCAGCGTTGGATCTGCCAGATTATTCACGCCAACAATTGTTGCAGCGCTTGCGTCGGCGCACAAAGGTAGTGACTGATTCTCTTTTTCGGCTTTCATGGTGTTTGATTCATCGCAATTATTAATGATGGACACATCGCCGTCAACGTCCATTTTCTCGACATGTGCCGTTGCTATATCATTATCATCCTTGTTGTGATGCTCACCATTATTGGTGACGCCGCTGCTGTTGTTATTATTATGTTCCGCGCCAGCGGGTGAGACATTATTAGTGTTACTGCTGACAAGCGTTTCGCCGCCGTTAGCGCCATCAACTACTGCGCCGCTGCCACTGTCGTCATCCTTCTCTTCACTCTGCTTCTCTGTCGTAGCATTAGTGGTCGCTGCCGCGACGGCATTCGCTGCAGCTTCAGCGGCTGCCGCTGCGGCCTCCGCCTCCTTCTGCATACGCTCGGCATCGGCTTTCTGCTGCGCGGCAATGGCTGCTTGCATTGCCGCCTCGCGTTCGGCCTGCGCCTTCTCGTACGCCTCAATGCGCGCCTTGCGTTGATGCAGCGCCTTATATTTGCGCACCTTCATGTCGGTCATGTACTTCTCTTTGCGCATTTGTGCGCATGTCTCTAGGCTGCCATCGATCTGCTTCAGCACCGCCTTGTTCATTAGCAGGTCATTGCAGAGATGGGCGAGTATTTGTGCTTTGCGTGTGGGATTCAATGCGACAAACGGACGATTCTTGAGCGAATGTGATAATTTCCAAGTTTCATTTTCATGTAATAATTTGTAGTATTCGGCATTTTTGCCTGAATGCGAAGCGGTTTCGGCGTCCACCTGATGATGATCGGGTATGCGACGCTCGCGCTCACGATCCATGGTTATGCCGTGCAGTTGACGTATCTCACCAGTAGCGGTGGCATACAGATAAATGCGTAGTATCTCCGAAACATTCGAATTGGTAATGTCGGCGTTACGCAACGATTGTCCGAGCAGTGTGGTGTGTCGACCCGGATTCGGTATACCGGGGTCTTCGATGGCGCACACCAGCAGATGAGTCATCACAGATAGCAGCTCCTCCTCAGCGTCGGGATTGCTGTCACTAATCAGTGCGTCGTGCAGGTTTTGCAAGCTAGGCAGTGACTCCATGTCTGTAAGATAGTGGTGTGGAATATTATAGCAAGCTGTACTTATAATAATTTTAATCGTAGCATGCACTTACCGAATCCTAAGGTTTCACCAAAGTTATGCAAGAATTCGAATACCATTAGTAGATCGGCCATAGCTTGACCAGGTAAACGATTTCCACCGATGCGTTCCAGCTCGGGTAACTCGTGTGGATGTGCAACTTCAGAGTCCTCGTTTGGTTTTCTATGTAAAAAGTGTATAAGAATTAACCGTTAGTAAAATGTTGAACTGCATTTGTTGCATTCTGCGTGGTCTTCTTTTTGCTTTGCTGTGTGTTTTGCTGTTCGTGTCAATATTATTTGAAAATTTCTTTGACAGCACCTCACCTTATTTGTGCTAAAATTTCAGAATCACGCTTTCGTATAGCCATACGCTTCTCACGCAATATCAGACGGTCTAAAATCATTTGATGCTTCTTCTTCTCACGCTCGACAAACTTGCGGCGCGCCTCCAGCTGGCGCACAAGTGCCATATGTTGACGACGGCGTTCGCGTTCCTGCGTTTCGAAATGGAGAAAAGTGAGGTTAAGCATTTTATGGAATTAAACTATATTTATTTTAATCTTAGACTCACCATCTCGGCGGCAAGTAATGCTTCCTTTTGTTTTTGGAGTTCCTGCAGGTGAAGGAGTTTGTTTTAGTAACGGTATTTATGGAGTAAAAATTATATATTCAAACAAGCAATTAAATAAACAAATGCTACGGAAGTTAATATGGTGGAAAATTAAATTTTTGTAACGAAAATAGTTTTTACTTTGAATTTAGGCAAAACTAGACATTTTTTACACTTTTAACAAGGAAGCGCTTAGTTCGGTGGTGACCGAACGTTAAATACTCTTGCAGAGTTTAAGACTTCAAGTAACGTAAAATATTTCGTTTTCTCGCCAAAAATTTGTTTAAAAACAAGAAAAACGTTAACTATTGTTGCACCGAAACCATAATACCCTTCACAAACAAATTCCAAACAAGAACTGGATTTTGATCGACCAGTTTGTATGGCAACTTTATGCTTTAGTGGTCCGATCTGAACAATTTCTTCGGAAATTAAACTTCTACTTTGAAAAATAATCCATGACAAATTTCGTAAAAACATCTCGTCGAATAAAAAAAATTTCACACGGGGACTGGATTTTGATCGGTCAGTTTATATGACAGCTATATTCTATTGAAGTCCGATCTGAACAATTTCTTTGGAGATTGTACCGTTATCTTAGACAATAGACGCTGCCAAATTTCGTGAAGATATCTCGACAAATAAGAAATGGACGATCGCACGGAGGTGCAGGCATATAAGCATAACAAAATCAATTCCTCACGCCATTCTAACCATTTTGATACATGGTGCTATGTCATCTATCTGGACTACTTCTATATTCCATTTTTGTGCACTGTGCAACATGTTGCAAGAGTATAAGCATAAAAAATTAAATATAGATGTTTAATTTCTTGTTGCCAAAATTTTTTCCAAACAAAATTTAAAAAAGATATTTTTTGATATACTAAAAATTTTGAAACATTTTAGAAGAAAACAATTTTTGAAAAAACTTAGAATTAAATTAAATCGAAAACAGAATTTTTGAAGCCAATAATATAAATAATAGAGAACTACTACTACTAAGCGTAGAGAAAAGGTACTCAGCTAATACCTGTTCTTTAGCTAAAATAGCTTCTTGACGTTTCTTTTCTTTTTCCTAAAGGAAAAAAGTAAATAAATAAAAAAAATTTATAATTAATATTTAATTTCAATGCAAGTTGCCAGTTCGAAAATGTGAAATTTTAGTTTTAATAATTATTTTTTACGAAAATTCAAAATTGTGCAAACGATAATGTAGCGAACAGTTACTTTAAAAGCACACTATACCTGTTGTTTCTTGAGCAGCTCCTCTTGCTTGATGCGTTCTAGTTCTTCTTGACGCTTCTTGCGCGCCTAAAACGAAGAAAAAATTAATAAGTAATATTAAGACCTTCCAACAAGGCATAACCCTACGCACCTCAATCATTTGCTGGTTTTTTAACTCCTTTTCTTTACGTTGCTGCTCAAGCTTCTCGTTTTTTTCCTGCCGTGCTTTTTCCTTGTTGCGCGCCATTTCCTCCTTTTGCTGTTTCTTCGCATCGCGTATGGCCTGCTGTTGCTTAGCAATTTCGATGCGTTGCTCCACATTCAAGGTTTGGCGCGTGAAAATTTTCAAATCCTCCAAACGCTTAGCAACATCTTCGTCGGTCATGCGTATGTACTCGCCGTCGTTGGCGTATGGCGGTGGTGCGGGCTGTAGAAATGAACCGACTATAGCACGCGATGAAAAGCTGAAATTGTCACGCGTCAGCTTCGATGGATTCTTCTCCAAATGCTGCAAAAAGGAAATTGAAATAACATTCAAAATGCTGCACTCATGCTAGTGGCACACAAGAGAGGTAGTAAAAGTTGTCTACAAACTCACAGAGATCACTTGACCAATGTTCTTTAGCGGCACTGTACCACCGGGCGCATAGTAAACGACTTCGCCGCGTATTTGACCCGCCTTCGTTAGGCCACGTATGACCGTCTCACGCTTCCAGCCCAAGTCGAGTGGCACACGTAGTTCGGTTACATTCAGAATGTTGGCATCTTCGCTCTCCGACTCAGAGAGCCCACTTTCGGCGGCAACGCTTTCGGAATCGGTCGAGAGATCCAGTTGTGCATTCGCTTCATTTAACGCCTGTCGGATTTTCTCCTGCAACGAAAAATATTGAATATTTCTCCATACTTCGTAAGCTTAACTCGCGACACTCACCAAATCAGCGCCTTGCTGCAGCAACTGCTGTGTAGCTAGCATTGGTTTTATGCCCACTGCACGTGACTGTGCCAACAATGAAGCGACGGTGTTTTTCTTCGGCTTCGACACGCCGCGTCCGAGATTGCGTGGCCGCCCCTCCTTAAAAGGCGTTTGCCCTGAACGTTCACCACCACTACCGCCACCGCCGCTGCTGGAACCGGCCGAACCACTACTGCCCGCATTGCCACCACTGCTGCTGGCGCCACTACCTGGCAGCGGTGTGCTACTGCCACCGCCCAGCGCTGCTGTTATCGACGTCAAGCTTTGCAAACTATTCGAACCACCGCTGCCCGTAGGCACTGCCACGGTACCGCCCATATTCACCGGACTGCTGTAGTCGCTACTGCCGCCCACCATTGAGGATGACATGCAGGCGGAGGAACTCTGTTTATCAGCCGGTTTCATTGATAAATTCAATGGCGCATCGTAGTCCTCGATCATTATGGGATTGGCCGCGGTACCGATGAGCGCTGAGGCGGCTGTTGTGGCATTGGTCGTAGCGGTGGAGGTGGATGATTTCATGCTGAGATTTACACCAGCACCGCTACTATTGTCTCCCGTCAAATCAAGTAAGTCTTTGTTTTTATTCGATAGATTGTAGGCGCCGTTCGAGGTTATTGTTGGCGGTAGTTTTATCACTTCGACACGGTCCGTTGATGAGTCACGACTATTGCTAGGCGTGGCACTTAGCGTGGTTGCGCCAAGTGCGTGCGCATCCAAACGTCCGGATGGGTTGCCTAAACCGCCAACGCCACTCAAAGCACCCAAACCGCCGAGTCCGGGCAAGCCCATCGGTGCACCCATACCAAGTCCACTGGCGCTTAAGGCTGCCGCTGCGGCCGGACCACTCAATTGTCCAAGCGCAGCTGCCGCAGCCGCCGCCGCTGCTGCTGCTTGTGCTGCGGTGGTGGCATTTGTGCCACCGACACCGATGCCACCAAAACCGCTTGCTGCGGCTACATTTAATGCATGCTGGTGCTGTTGTTGCAATTGTTGTTGTGCTTGTTGCTGCTGCTGCGCCTGTTGTTGCTGCTGCTGTGCTTGTTGTTGCGCCTGTTGTTGTTGCTGCTGTGCTTGTTGCTGGGCCTGTTGTTGCTGTTGCTGCTGCTGCTGGTGTTGTTGCTGTTGAGCTACATTCACCGCTGCCGCCATTGCTGCATACTCCATTTCGAGGCGAGCTCGCTTAGCCGGACTCAGACCTGGTATGGAGAGCAGCGAGGAGAGCGCATTTGTGGCGTCCAGCTCTTGTTTTTGCAATTGCTGTTGTTGCAGTTGCTGTTGTTGTGCGAGTAATTGTTGTTGCTGTTGTTGTTCGTCTGAAATCGTTTTCTTGCGTCCACGTGAAGTAGTGCCGGGTATTTTAGGTCCCACAATCGATGATGTATACTTGATGATCTCCGTGTCGGGCGGCAATCGTACACCCAGCAAGGATTGATGATCACTGCAAGTCGAATCCACGAAACGAACGTAAAATAAATAAAAGTAGCGATAAATAAAAAGGAATTATATCGTAAAATACACACAGAGTTGCATTCCAAGTGCCGAAAATATGTAGACAAGAGATGGTATGAGGTAAATAAAGAGCTGATGAAATACATACATATGTTAATAGAGGATGGATGACTTTGAAAGCACGTGACTGAGGAAAACTTAATAAATTTTGTAATAAAAACCGTTACTATGTAACACAGATCAATTAACCATCAAGCAATTTAATTTCTACAACTTTCGGAAGAGTATATGGAAATTTATGTGTGAATATGAAATTTGATATCTCGTGTGCAAAAATATACGAATTTCAGCAAATTGAAATATTAGAGCAAATGTATTTTGAGTAAAATTTGATCAGTTAATGAGAAGATGCGCATGATTACAACAATAACAAAAATAGTCATTAACAAAAATCAGGGTCTTACTTTCCTTCCAGTGCAGCACTACGTAAACCAAGGAGTACATAGTTTTATATGAGTGTACATAAGTGATAAATTCATTGGTTTGTGGTGGAAAACGTACCAAATGCCGAGAATAAAAGAAATGCAGAAAAAATTATAGGCAAAGTTAGAAACCAAACAAAAATAATTTCCAAAATAAGCCCATACTATCATTAAATGCCACGCCACACAAACTAAATTGTTATTCTTTTGAACTTTTACCATACTTAAATAAGAGCTTTTAGAGCCACCACATACAGCATACCGAGCACATATAACACGAAATTCAAAGAAATCTTACACAATAGTCACCGCACACTCACCTGAGTATACCACTTGGCATGTAATCTTTGCCACCTTTGCCACCACCAACCGCCGCCGACGCTGCTGCTGCTGCTGCAGCTGCAGCTGCTGGATTAGATGCGGCAAACGCATTCATTGCGGCCTGCATGCTTTGCTGTGGGCTCATGCCGAGTGCGCCGAACTGTGAAAGCGAGCTGAGTGCATTTAACGAAGCGTTATTCTTGTCACGTTCTGCTTTACTGCTCGAAGCCGAACTATTGCTACCACCACTACTGCTAGCACCCATATTACTGCCAACGCTACCCATGCCACTGCTGCCGCCCAATGAACCATGCGGCGACATTAACGCATTTATGTGATGCGCTGTGGAATTGCTGCCGCCCACATTGCCACCCAAAGCGCTCAAGTGATGCATGGCCGCATTGCCGACACTGCTCATGGGTGAGTTTTTATTGGAGTTGTTGCTGCTGCTGCCGCCAAGTGACGAGGAAGCGCCACTGGACATACCTAAGCCACTGCTACCACCACTTACACCGCCACCACCACCACTGCTGTTGTTGTTGCTGCTCTGGTGCGACTGTGTATGATGATGTGATGAGGATTTCTTCGACGATGAGGAACTGGAAGAGCCACCAGACGCGGCTGCCACTTGCATTGCCAATAATTCTTTATGTAGCTGTACTGGATCGTACGCCGAACCGGGTGGTGGTGGTAAAACCGGACTCACAGATGGTTTACTATAGTTGGTTGAACTCGACTAAAATGTTTTTGATAAGAAAAAAATTTCAATATTAAATAAGAGCCAACATTTCATTAAATCAACTGCACATCAACACACGAACTCACTTTGTACGACGAACTACTGCCGCCGCTGCTGCCACCGACACCCGTGGTATTGCCAGTACTGCCACTACCGCCCATGCCCATCGAGGAGGGATTAAGCGAACCACCCGCGCCCACCAAGCCATGCATGCTAGCCAAAGCTGCCGCCGGATTAGCACTTACAGCCGCTGCTGCTGCCGCCGCTGCAGCTGCAGCTAAATTCTGTTGTTGCTGTTGTTGTGCCTGCTGCTGTTGCTGACGTTTCTCTTTGCGGGATTTACTTGATTTGCTGCTCGACGATGAACTGCTGCCACTGCCCACGTTACTGCCACCCGCACCGGCACCCAAAGCACCGACACCACCACCAGCGCTGTTGACTCCTGTACCACCGGCACCGGCCGCTCCACCCAGACCCAGTGCTGCTGGACCAAATGCAGCCATCACATCGGGATGTGCGAACGGCGAGAGGCCGGAAGCTTGCAGGCGGGTGAAATAGTCTTGAGCTGCCAGTTGGGCCATGGACCACCAACCTGCGGAGGGGAATAGGTGAAAAAATATTTTTATAAATATAAATCAGGACAGACTTGATTCTTGAATATAAAATAAAATTACATAAAATGTTTAAGAAAAAAAATTTAAATACATAATTATTTGGTTCAAAAATATTAATAACAATTAAAAACATAATTAATAATATAACATATTAAGAAAAGTATACAAAAAAATGTTTACACACTTCCATCAGATTCATACAACAGAATATGTTGTATGATTCTATAAGTTGGGGAAGCTTAGTGTATTTTTATTCTAGGAGCGTTTTCTTCAAACAACATCTAATCGTAATGCGAATGCGTTTGCTGTTTCACTCCCTACTTTTTAAGCGGGGAAAATTTTATTTCGAATAAATTACATATAAGAGGTTCTGCCGGAATTTTAACTCATGACCCTTCAAACATAAAACCGATGGGCTAACGAATGTGCCATTAAGCACCGTAGCGAAATATGCAACAAACAGACAACTAGTTAACAGTAAACGATAAAAGATCAAATATATTGCATTTATGGTAGATATGCATCTAACATATATGCATTCAAAATGCAAAATAGAAAAATTTCTCTTCTTTTAGTTTTTGGTTGCAATAAAAAAATACGATTCATTTTGGCACAGTAAACAAACAATTTTGACACAATAAACAAATAAACATTCTAACCACAAATTCTTAACAGTTCTTAAAACAAGAACAAACGTTAACTCCGTTTCCATACTATAATACCCTTTAAAAATACAAAATATTCCATAAAAGAACTTGATTTAGATCGATCAGTTAGTCTTGCAGCTCTATTCTATACTGGCCCGATATCGGTGGTTACGTGTGCAAAAGGTCAGATCGATTCCTCAGACAACAAGATATACAGACAGACTGTCAGACGTCAAGCTGATCACTTGTATATTACATATATATTTTATAGGATCTCCGACGTATCTTTCTGGTTTCTGGTGCAAACTTAATATACCCTGTTCAGTGTATAAATATAACAACACTTTGTATACAACCAAATACAACATAAAATACATAATTTCCTCTGCAAACCAACACCATTTTCAACGATCGTACAGTTTAACTCACTTGCAGGATGCAGGCTAGCCAAACTGGCCGCCTGAGAGGCCGCCACTGCCATGGTGTTCTGATGATGATGTGACGCGGCGGCCGCTGCTGCAGCTGCTATCGAATAGCGATCATTTGCTGCACTAGCCGGATTCTGCAACAAGCCCAAGCCGGCTGCTGCGGCAGCATTAAATTGTGAATTAAATAGCGGATTGGAAGCGGCTGCGGCAGCGCTTGTTGGATCACGGCCCCAATAAGCTGCAAGTGAATAGAAAATATGTATGTTTATTATTATTATAAAAAAAAAATACATGTTTATTAATATTAAACAAAATGCAATCAAAACAATGCAATCAAAACAATGCAAATAGAAATCAGTAATACGTTGTGTCCAACACTTACCGAATAGCGAGGCGGCATCCAACAATGCGGAGGGATCGTGCACTCCGGCTCCACCGCCCCCACTGGCGCTAGAGCCGGCCTTACCACTGCCGCCACCACCCAGACCGACGCCGACACCCGATTTGCCATCGCTGCCGTCGCCGCCGGCATTTTTGTCCATGTTTTTCATCAAACTGGATGAATGATTGCTGTGGGGTTTCTTCTTATTATTGCGTTTAATTTTGAAGGCTTTTCTTTTCTCACTTGTTCAAAATAAATTATTCTCCTACGCGCCTTGCTCTCCACTTTTTCTTTGAAAGTATTCTTCAAAAAAAAAAAGCAAATTTAATGTTATTCGCTGCTGCGACTTTATTCACTTTATCGTGTCTTTGCTTTGTTTATATTTTATACTCTGCTCCACTGTCCTCTACGCCTCTTATTGCCAAATGTGCGTATTTATGTTTGGTTTCTTTGTTGTTTTTCTTCTGATTGCTTAGTGTGCGTTTTCGCTACATTTATTTCTGCTTTATTATTACTTTATTTATTGTTGTTTATTTGCATTTGCAAAAAACTGCTACATGTTTTAATATATTTTGTCAAATTCTGCAATTGAAGTCTCAGATATTCATTGCTTTCCTGTCATTTTTGGTGTAGCTGTAAAGAGAGCAATACGGAAATGCAAGTTAATAAAAACAAATTACAAAAAATATCAGAGAATTAGTATGAGTTGGAAGTTGTGGTTGTGCTGGTAAACAAACAAGTTGTAAGCGCGATATACATGTTTGATGGCGAGAAGTTCGCAACAGACTTGTTGAAGCGCACAAAATACCGAACAGTCTTTCGGATACTCTCTTTTCATTTATTATACTTTATACGCGATTCGCATACATCCACTCTCTTAATATTCAGGGCAAACGCTGATGCCAGCAGTGTATTGAATGTTAGTTAACATTTACTGCTTGAAGTTTATTACAAAAATAAATATGTACTCTTTTCATAACCGTAGTCAACATTTCTAAAAGCTAAAAATAACTTTGCTGCATTAAATATAATATGTGAAACTTTCTCATATTCCAGCAACTTAAAAGTTCAAGGACGTAGCTGTTACGCAATACAAGGTCAAGTTCGTGTAAGCAAATATAACTTTGTACGCAATTCGATGAATTTTTCTGAAGTTTATATTCACATATCTATATGTACAGATGTATGTACAATATGTACACAACATGTTCTATTTAGAAAGTAGTGTTTTTTATAGAGGTAGGCCATCGTCATTATTTTTTTTATCCCGACTTTTCTTTTTAATACAATTATACAATATAAGAGACGACCTTTTCCAACAATCTTAGGTTACGTTAGAGTGCCGCGTACCGTATATTACAAAAATATTATGTCTTACCCCTAGTACCACATTAAATCGCTCTGAAATAATATGGATTTTGACGAAAGCCAAATGGACAAGACGGTCTTGAGATTTCTAACTATAACGACCCTCAGCTATAATTAGGGATTAAATCTTAGATAAAGGTATTTTATTTTCATATAAAAACTACGAATTTGATCTGTCATATATACACTTGTCAATTTGACATAGTCCACCGGTGTTTAGAAATAACTGGTGAAGACTGTGGTAAAATTTTAGACAAAAACTGCACTAATTGCAGCTGGTTAGGATTATATATCAAGAAACCCACTTCCACTGCAGTCGATTTTATATTACGGGATCGAAACCGGATTTACATATATACGACTCAGGACTGTCAACGCGGCAGCTTTCTCTTTTGTTAAATAAAATATTTTTCCATACAAAAACTTTATTTTGATCAGTTTGTATGGTAGCCTTATGCTATAGTTGTCCGATCCGAAAAATTTATTCGAGCTTGTACCGTTGCCTCAAACAATACTCCATTTCAAATTTGGTGAAGATACCTTGTCAAATAAAAATGTTTTTCCATACAAGAACATGATTGTGATCGATTAGCTATTTGCCAAAATGGTCCGATATCGGCGCTTCCGACAAATGAAAAGCTTTTTGGAGTGAAAAGAACATATGCAAAAATTCATATCGATATAAAAAAACTTAGGGACTTAATCGACTCATCTCGTCACACTGATCATTTATATATATGTACATACATATATCTTATAGGGTCTCCAAAGTTTCCTTTTCGGTGTTACAAACTTCGTAACACACTTAATATACTCTGTTCATTCATCGACTCGCTGCCATAAACCAGGTGAGTATTATAGAACGTAAGATATGCGAATGTAAATTTCGTAAAAACTCGATGATTAATCAATTATTTTAAAAACTTAATTTATTATTTGAGCTAAAAAATAGAAATACAACTAAGTCCAAACTCATCCTTTGCTAAAAAACTGGCCACGATATCAGACCTTCCTCAACAATTGAATTTCTTACAATAAAAGAAAATAAATCGAGCAAAACAGAGTGAGTAAAAAATTATACTAATTTAATAATAAAATATAATCTTTGCATTGCAGATGCTCATAAAAGTTGCAAAAGGAAACGACGGTGCAATTCATAGCAATAAAAACAAAACAGCAGATCAAAACAGAAATAGAGACGCCGCATTTAAGTTTAACAAAAAAGAATGAGGTATAAAAACAAAATACAGATAAAGTAAATGGACAAAATGTAAAGCAACAAAAAACAAAAATTATTTTGTAAATGCAAGCAGCGATGGGTACACAAAACTAAAGTAAACCAGCGAATATAGTGGACAGAGGGCAATGAGACACGAACTGGGAAACGAAGACAGATAATGAATGGAGCACAAGGTAGAGTGGAGAGTAAGCTGGTTGCAGAATTCTGCCGCTACAACAACAACAACAGTAAGCTGGTTAAGAGAGCATACTATGAAAAACATATTTAACCGGTAGGATTTTAATTGGTTTTGTTTATTAATTTTTTATGAAGCGATAAATTTTTAAAGGGGTAATTGTGTTTATTTTTTGGTAGATGGTGAAATTTGATTATATGACAAATGGTGGATGCTAATTTTGTTGTTTTTTTTGATAATTTTTTATTAGATAAGAAATATATAACGTTAGCATAGGGATAGCCGTTACGCGATCACAAATTTTTAATGTTGGTAAGAACATGAAGCATATTCAGCCCCTGCAGAGTGGTAGGAGGTTTGTCGATAACATACAAGACAGTTTAATCCGAAATTCATTATTTGAAAGAATAACGAAGCAGACCTATTCAGGAAATTTATGGAACCAACTTTAGTTTGTTGAGACATTCATAAACCAAAATGTAATATTAAAATGGCAGCAGTATCTAGTACCGACTGATGTGGTTTAGGCTATAAAATTATCAGACATGTATCTTTAATCTTGTATAAATTACCGTAAAACAACAATTTTGACAATTTTTTGTTTTAATTTAAATGAGAGCTTGACGATTCATATTTAAGGTTAAGCAACATGTATAAAGAAGGTTCCAGACAAACTTTATAGAATTGAGTACGTTATAGTTATACAAAATATATTACAGTCAGCGTCCAGTAAAACGAGCTTTCGAAATAACGAATAGACAGTTTTACGAACCATCAAAATTATATTATTGATGTTTCTATATTACGAACGCAAACAAATTTAATTTTTCGATATTGCGAACGCTGCCATATTTTTATCTTAAACTTCGCATTCTTTGCAAAAAACAAGGGTTTCGTTAAACCAACGATAGTTTTATTGTTGTACAACATCTGTAGAAAATATAAATTAATTTTTTTTTTTCATGTTTCCATTTATTTTGAATTAAACGTAATTCAGTCAGTTCAAAATATTACTTTTTTCGTGCGGTTGATTCCATTTCGTTTAGTTTAGAAAGTGCAATATCAAATAGAAAGCGTTTACCCTTGGAAAATAAACTAAAGATTTTGAACGATTCACCAAGCGGCTTTCAGTAAAGGCCATATCCGCGAAATATAGAGTTTCAAAATTGTCAGTTTATAGTATAAAAAAATTAAATTTAAAATCGAGGAACACTTTCAATAAACCCATCGCACGAAAGCAGTACGTACGTCATTTAAACAAAGTGAAATTCCTAGAATGGAGCAGGCCCTCTACAAATGGTTTATGACTCTACGTCGAAACTATATACCTATTAGTGGAGTCATTTTAAATACAATGGCATTAAAAAAAAAGCTTCAGAATATCTGAACTAAATAGTGTGGAGCCATTTATAAACAAGCTAGAGAGCGTAATAAAAATAATAATTTTATTTGAAATTGTTTCCTGAAAAACATACGTTGTGCCAGAAGAAGCATCTGTGCTAGGAAGAAAGAACACCAAAGAAAGATTTACATGTTTAGCGTGCGCCAATTTACCAAGAAATTACCACTTTTAGTAACTGTAAAATCTCAGATAAGTTAATTAATGGAGTAATAGATTTAAAAAATTTTAGATTTTACGAATTTGGTAGAATTACACCTTCAGATTTGTTATATTAGACGAGATACCATATATTTGATGTATGTCTTTTCTTCCGAAAACGAGATACCAAATTTCTAAAGCGATAAAACATACTTATATCAAAAGAACACTGAACACTGAGTCCACTTCCGAATTAAAGTGGGGTTTTGATAGAAGTCTTCCACGAAATATAAAGTTATACAGATAAATGTAGCGGTATTCACTGTGACCTTTGTCCTCCTGTAGAAACGTTTAATCATAAAAAGGCCGCAACAAGCACTTGATATTTTCACGTTTTGACAAAGCATTAAATTTAGAGCGGTAAGGTAACCACCAAGACGGCAATTGTGGAGTTATGACTTTTATCCTTTTTTCTTTTCTGTATTGTTTTTAGATATCCGAAAAATTTTTTTTGTAAACATTTTTTTGCATGAGTAGCAGTTTTGATACGAGTACAAAAAAATCGAAGTCCGACTAATTTTTCAGGTTTCACTTAAGAAGCATATATCAAAAATGTTGAAGTAATAAATCGAGTTTCTATTGCTTTTCTAACAATTCCTGGAACTACATACATATGTATGTATGTTCATACGTGTGTATGTTATTAGATTTATATGTAAAATTGTATTTAGTACGTCCATATGTTTGAAATTGAAGTCAGGTTGAATGAACTTCGTTGGGTTAATTTTATTATTATTTATTTTACACAAGAGCATTTAAACTTCTGGTTAAAATACATTCATACATACTATTGTGTATGCATAAGTATATGTACATATGTTCGTTAGCATTTGTCGGCTCTTTTGGCCACTCAGCTCGCATGCACACATTAGAGTAATGCTACACAGACACTTTCAATGAACGGAAATTGTAATAAATTGCAGAAAGCAGTTTCCAAAAGTATCGGTTATTTGAATTGTTAAACTACACATTCACAGGCAATTAATACAACTTTTAATTATCACTTTTATATTTGGTATTTTGTTTATATTTCCAAAGTGCAGTCAAATTTTCACACGACGCTGCAAACGCTTAGCTATTTGCTTTTGCCATTTCTCCCTTATGAAGTAGGCATGAAGCGAACGAGCGCAAAATACACGCAACGAGAGCGCGACGATTGTACTAAAAGCCGACAAGCGCCGAGAGCGCCAGAGAACAATAACGGAAATGAAGACACAGAGAAATGGCAAACAGCGCTGCTACCAACACACCTGCGATGACGGCGACGCAACAGCGCTGCCGACCGCGACAGCGCCGTGTGTATCTATGAGTTTATCTGTAGATACATGCATACATGTGTGTGTGCGTGATGCGTACGCACATCTGCTTGCTTTATAATTTTCACAGCGTAACGCACTACGATTTCATTCATTATACACAATTTTAATTTCAGTATACACTTTGGATAAGTTTCGATAATAATGCTGGTGTTCAGCGTGTTTTATTGGTAAATAAATAGAAATTACCAGAAATAATCACAGTTTCTTTTTAGTTTGACTGAGTGCATTGCATTTTTCTCACCGGCGTGTATGCGTTTTTAGCAAACAGCGAATGCATATTTTTGCCGAGCGTTGTTCACACACCCACTAGAACATTTAGAATGCGTCACTTAGGCGTCGCAGCTGGCTATGCGATAGTCAACGTCGTTTTGGCGGCTTGTTTTTCAGTTGCAGTTTCACATTTTTAATTATAATTGCACACACACATATGCATACATGCGCATATCCATAAGTTCGCTTCTAGTAATTTTGAGATATTTACACGTTTTATTTCCGCAGAAACACACAATGGTCAATTCATTCATAAATAGTAAGTAAATTTTTCATAAAAAAAGTGCTCACTAGAATTTGTTTTTTTATGATGTTTTTTTTTTACTTTATATAGCAAATTGAGTTGAGATAGGTAACAGTTTCCAGCACACGGTTGAAAATATCAGTTAGCAGAATTCGCAACTGATTATGGAATATGCTAGAATTGAAAGCCATATTTTTATAAATATCATTATGGATACCACCAATACTTTAAATTTTTTAAATTTCGTCCTCAATTGTTATAATAATTAGTATATGATTTCTCTTTTTAAATGTAAAAAGAAACGAATGAAATGAAAAGAAGAAAACGTCAAGACCCTATAAAACAAAATATGAAAGCTTGGCCAGCTAATTCGATTTAGCCATGTCCGTCCGTCCGTCGATCTGTATAAACGCGAATTAGTTCTTAAGTTTTTCTTTTTCTTCCCAAGAAATTGCTAATTTTTCGAAATTGCCGATATGGAAAACTTGTTCTAACTTATATATAATATACCTTTACTTTTATTTCTGGTTTAATTTGACCGGACTATTATTATTTAGGTATATAATTTTGATGTAGAAGGACTTGTTTAAAGGGATATTGATAGTTTTGTGCAAATCTAATCAATTTTATAGATGTCTGCGTAAAATATCAGACTAAATTTAATATAAATATTGTTAATGTAAATTTCCGACATTTTTGAACGTCGAGTTAAATAATAATCCTCAACTAATATACATATTAAATATATTTACGAGAACTTTAGGGGTGCTGTGGTTTTTTTTTTGCTGGGGTTTTGTTAAATTAATACAGGTTTTAATTTGTTCTAATCTAGGTCGGTCCGAAAAACCAGAATACTTGATAGATGCAATTATTCGAAATTAATTCGATTATTTTCTCTAATTTTTTAATAAAGATCTGCCATTGCCGCAGAATGCATCGAAATCGCTAAACTGTATATCAACCAAAAAAAAATATAGCGTAAATAAAGGACGTGTTCTAGTCCTTATTTGTATTATTTAAAATTTATTTAAATTTTTTCATATATTGTTTTTTGTTTTTTTTTGGCATTTGGCATTTAAGTTATTTTTCAATATTTTTCTATTTGTTTATTTTTACTTCACTATTATTTAAAAAGAAAAAAAATTCATTGACATATTTCAACTTCATTTAAAACTGTTTAACTCAGTTCTATTTACTTGCTTATTTTCTTTTGTGCTTTTTCATTGCATATGTTTCGATTCCAACATTTCCTATTTCAGTTCCAGTCGTTCCGTTTCTTTATACACCAATTTGATTCCTTTCATGTCATTTTAGCAGAATTTTACTAAATTTCACTTTTTTAGTTCAACTTTACTTCATTTAATTCCATTTCACGATATTCCCTTAAATGTGCTGTCATTACATATCGTTTTCAATAATTCCACGCGTTTTAATTGCTTTGCATTTCACTTCAAACTAATTATTTCAGTTGTTTGTCTGTTTAAAATCTCTAAAAATGTATTATTTGACATTTTAATGAATAAAAATAATTTATTTTACTTTAATATAAATAAAATGTTTAAAATTTGGGCCACCCTGCCTTTGAGCAACTTTTGTTTTTCCATAAGGCACACCAACATATTTAACTGTTTTACTTTTTTTTTTTTTTTTTGGTATTTTTGTTGTACATCACATAAGTTTTCACAACTTCGCCGCTTCACGCACAAAACAATAATTCTGTAACTGATTTTTACCAAACAACCAACAACAAATTTGGTAATAAACAAGAAAAGCAATAAACCAGCAATACAAAATTACTTAATTCCAACAAAAAAATTTTGTTGTTGTCATTTTATTTGGCAACGGGTAATTAACCTTTTCGCCTTTAGCTGCGGCAATTTGCTTTGGCTCAGCAAGTAAGCAGCTAAAACGGTGTGTATGTGATCGGCTCACGACAATTACATACATGCATAAAAAAACATACAGACGTGTGTATGTGGTTTAGGTGCCGCCAGCTAAACAGCCACTGCCACCACCAGCCTTGTATTCCGGCGGCTGTTGGTGTGGTTAGGCTTTTCCTTAGACCGGCCTCTTTGAATTTCGCACCTCCACTTTTGCCACTGGTAACGGGGCAACCGAACAATCAACTAAACGTCCAAGCGACTAAGCAACCGATCGACCAACACCACTTTTAGACACTTCTTACTTCCAATTCAAATTATGTACTCCAGCAAAATTTTTTCTTACATTTTTCTTCGCCATAGTGGAAATAATACAATACAGCAAGAACAACAACAACAGCGTTGCTGCTATACTAATCGCTCAATTGCGAACGATTTCCACTCGCGTTTTTACCACTTCCACAGCAGTTTAACGCTTGCTGCTGCTGCTTCTTCTTCTTCTCCTTGTTATTTGCCACACAATTTTTCTGTACACACATGCACACACACTACATACATATGTATTGCTATATATTTATATATATGCATTTATTCGAATATATATGAATTTTTTCCGTTTTCCTGTTGGCTTTCACTGTGCTGCGCTTCTTCTTCTTCACTAAGCTTATAGATTTTTTCACAGCACCTTCGATTCACTACAAAATCCACCATTTGTCGGCGGCGCTTCATTGACTTTTCGCAATTTGTTTATTTTCCGTGTTTTAGCAACGGTTTTTCGCCAATATTTCACGCATTTCACATTCCCGCAATATTATTTCACAGTTATTTGTTAATTTCTGTAATTTTTAGTGCATTTTTACCCATTAAAAAGTGTAATTTATAATTTTTTCACTATAACAGCGGCGAATTTCACACGGAACGCGTCCGCCGATACGTCAGCGCAGCGCCGTATCTATCGGATACCTAAACGGGCGGCAGACAGCGTCGCGAGCAATTGCCGCCCGTCCGTAATCGTAATCGCCGTCGTCGTTGGTGTCGTTGTCGTTGTCGTTGCCGTCGTCGACGTCGTCGTCGTCGTCATCATAGCCAGAGTCAGAGTCAGTGCTATAGCCATTGCCATCGTCATCGTCATCGTGGTCGTTGTTGTGTTTTGTGTCGTCTCAGGCGCTGCCCCTGCCTCGGTGGCAGTATTCGCGCTCTATAGCCACTGCCACTGGCACTCAGCGACTCGATGGAATCGGTGTGTCGTTTGGGTTGTTTTATTTGTAGTTGATATACATATATATTTATTGCTGTTGTTGTTATTATTATTATTGTTGTTATTTTTGTTGTACGTACGTTTCGTTCTCGCTCGTTTTGCTTCGAATGGCTGGCTAGCTGGCTGACTGACTGACTGGCTCTTCGCTTGTTGTATTCAACTGCCTGGGTGATGGCGTTGTCTGTTTGTTTGCATGTCTGTATGTATGTATGTGTGCATGTGCGTCTGTTTGTTTCTACATTTGGTTGATTTGAGGTTCGGCAACAACAAAAAAACAGCTAAACTATTAAGCAAGCCAAGCAGCCAACAGATGTGTATGCACGACTACCGAGGGGAGAAATGGTGAATGAATGAATACACACACACATACATACATGCATTTGTGTATGCAAACAGCAAGCAAGCAAGCTGACGAACTGTCAGACCAAACTGACTGCTTGACTGCCTAGTTCAATCAGCAGCGACAGCCAAGCATTTCTACATATGAGTACCTACGCAGCTCAGCACCAAGCCGAACACATTGATATGTGTATTCGTATGTTTGTATGTGTGTGGCAGATACATTTTGTGTATGCCGCCGTACACAGGCAGTTTAGCTGCTTGTATCTTGTATCTTACAATCGGCATTGTTGTTAAAACTGCCACCACCACCAGCCGCCAGCCGCCAGCCAACAGCGCCACCAGAGCCACAGCCGTAGTCAGAGCCAACAGCGCCGAGTAGTGACTTTACGCATTTTCTACATTTTGCCTGCAAGAACACATAACGACCTACACACGTACACACACATACATACGTGCGGGCACATACGAGTGCCCAGAACTCACATAATTTCCATCGAAAAACACGCATTTGCGCTCGAAATGGCTGCGAAATGGAACGAGTAGATTTATCGATGTTCGGATGGATGGATGGATGACCGGACAAATGGATGGCTGCATGATTGCACGGCGGCGCACATGAGCACACACAAACATATAGCATGCAAGCAGCGCAGATAAGTGAATACAAATATGTATGTTTGTCGGTAGCTAAGCAGCCAGACGAAATTACAAGTGGGCGGATAGCTGAAGACGAAGGCGAAGAAGACCTTTCCATATGACAAAGACTCCAACGCATACCACAGAGACGCGTTAGCAGTGAAAAGCATAACCACATCTATATACATATGTATGCATGTGTGTGTGTGGTGGTGTAAACCGAAAAGTGTTACCTCTGCAGAGTTAGTCCAACTGACAATTGTTGTAATTCACAGAAAGTTAGCTCAACCATTCGGTAGATAGGCTGTTTGCTTTGAAAGCGCTTATTAGCGAAAGGGGGTTCCCTACCGATCCAAACCTACAGGTATATGAATCTATGACTCGTGAATGACAATTCTTGTGAAAATCCATGCATACAAACATATGTACATGAACTCATACATTTTTATTATTAGGCAGCCGTACTGGTTTCCTTCATAGCGTAATGATTCCTGCTTAAGAAATCGCTTAGCACCGAACATTTACAACCACTTAGTAGTTGGCTGAAGTAGCACCTGGAAATGCTGGAAAGGTAGGAACCTAGAAACCAATAACACTTGCTCTTGAACTAAACTTTGTTCTCAATCAATCAAGTCGCTCATAACTAGATTTAACTTCTGAAACTATTTTTAATACCTTCTACTTCGTTTACCTGGTTGCAGTTTAATAGTAGCGGAAAATTAAGTCATCGTATTTACTTGTAATGTCTCAGCTGTAAAATGAGTTGCTGGTTAAAAAATAAACAATTCGGTCATACACTTTATTTTGTTGCTGTCGCAATCATTCTCAGTAGGGGAGCAGATTGCGGTGTTTGTAGTACTACTGCCAAGCTAGTTCTACGAGTGCCACAGTCCATAAAGACTCGGACCATGAAAGCCACGTGAGTATAAATGCAGAAAAAGAACTTCTAGGCTCTTCTGAGAAGGTGACCGAGGGCTGCAAGTCTGGCAACAAGTGACGGCAAAAGCGTAGTACAAGACGGCGGTCAAGATATGCAATCGACTGAGGTCATAAGTCCAACCGGAAGGAAGAGGGGGTGACACCCGGCCGGGCACAGTTCGCTACTCGTTACTAGTGCAATGCCTCGGATCCAACGTTTGCGAATCGCATTGAGGAGCATATCACTGAAAAGAGACAGCGTTCGACGGAGAGCGAACCGAACATGCAGATTTTTTCCGTTGCTTTTTATTTACGGTTTTCAATAGATCATTCCTGAGTAGTAAGTTCGAATATAACAAGGAAAAAAATATTACTATATGTAAAGAACACTGAAAATAGTTAGACATATTTTAGGAAAGAGTTGCTAACTTTCGAAAAAAATAAAAAATAAGAAATATATTAAAAAATGTGTACTAATAATTGAGTGTTTAAGAGAGCATTCCTTTTAAAATCTATAATTTAGACATATGTGCATATTTTGGTATAGAGAAGATACTCAAAATGTGTACCAAACGGTTATAATTAAGCATTCGAAAGAAAATTTTCTTAAATTAGAAATATTTTGGAACAGGGTTGCCACTTAATGGAGCTATAAAAAATTAAAAAAATAACCAAATCAATGCCAAATATAAGGCACAGAAAATTTTTGTATAATATATATTTTTTTAATTATTTTGGAACAGAGTTGACACCTATCTAAAAAAGTAAAACTGAGAAATGTGTGCTTAAAGTGTTTATAAAGCATTTTAGTGAATGAAATTGAAAAAAATAAAATATATAGCTCAATATTAGTTTAATAGAGTTTGCCTTTTTTTTGCATGATTCAGTTGTAATTAAAATTGAACTGGATAGCGAATGCCGCGTCTACTAGTATACATACTTACACATACATACATATGTATATGTGTATATCTGTATACACAAAAACAATTGTTAGACCAAAAATCAATCTAGAAAATAAGGTAATTAGAATCTGCAAATTCCATTTATTTTTCAACTATAAATTGAACGCGTATATCAAAATTTTCTGCTGGCCCTGAGCAATCACATTGTGTCGGCTCAGCGCTACAGACAACAACGTCCAATACACAAAACATCGCGCGCACAGAAATTTGCGTCATACGAATAAAAATCTACAATCGATTGCTTTTCAATAGCTCTTACTCACAGCCGAACACATATGAAAAGCAAAATTGCACACACACATGTATATATGTTTGTATAGTATATGGAAGTGGCATTTGTAGAGATATTCGCGCACTTTGTAGATACAGAACAAATGTCATGAGCCATCACGGAATCTGTATCTACTACAATTCGTACATTTGTAGCTGTAACTGCATCTGTAGCGCTGTAACTGCCGCTGAATAGCGAACGGATATGCACACATAGCAGAGCAAAAGAAAACGCGCCGTCACACGTATGTATATGTATATCAATATGTGTATGTGATGCGCGCACATTTGAAGCTTGAATGGGGAAATGGAAGGAGGCGTGTGTGGCACAGAATAGTAGGTGGCGCGGACCGCGGAGGGGGAAGCGCAGGCTAGCGGCTTGAAGAAAAAACATAAAAAATCATCATGAAATGGAAAAAGTCAGCAATTGAGATGACAAATAAAAGCAATCAACACTTGCAGCTGCCTTAGCGCTAACAAAGAAACGCAAAAGATATGTATAAATGTACAGTAGACATTTTTGTTTGTAGGTGCATATTGGCGAATGAGTGTGCGTTTGCTTGTAGTTTGTAGCGAGATCACGCATACTCGGCTCAATCAATGCGCCGACAAGCAGCGTCGCACCTTGCGCCCAGAAACAAACAATATGTATGTATATGTGCTAGCGGTAAGCGGCGGGCGGACGTGTGCGGCATGTCGTTTAATCCGACGACAATAATTAATAAAAATTCGTGCGCGCACATATAAAGGCAGAAGCAAACAAACATACTTGGACGTACTTGTACATATATAGATATGTATATATGCACACAAGTACATATACGCGCATATGAATGTGCGCTCTCGTCATGGGCATGCCGCGCACTCCACTCAAGTGCGTTTTGCCAATTGTTGTTGCTGTGCGTTGCGTAGCTGAGTGACTACGGCTCTGTGCGTGCCACATACTCACACACATACTTATACTAACGCATATCTTGAGTTTCCTCTTGACTGCGTCAACTGCTCGACACATCGTCAGCATATTAGCGCAGCCAACGCACCACGCAGTGTCTTCAGCGCCTCACCGCACACAATCGCCCGCGTCAGTCAACAACAATGAAATGTGTGGCGGCCAGCGCCATCTTGTAAGTGACTTCGCTACCAAACCAGTCAGTCAGTCACTCAATTGTCGCTCGATGGAGCAGCTAGAGCGTTTCAGGTATGCATATATGTATGTATATGACGGCGCAGGTTCTTAACTTAACGGCATGTCTGGCGAAACTGGGAATTCAGTGAAATATTAATGGGAGCTGCAAGATTTTGAGGAACAACTTCATATGCATAAAGCGGAGTAAGAGAGCGTCCCGCATGAGGTAATAGTGTAAATAAGAACAAAGCGTGGCCACGAAATAGGTCTCTTCATGCTAATCGATCTATGTGTGAATACATGTGTGTGTAATATTTGTGCTAATAAATTGGTAAAGTTCTATAGACAAGCTTTTGCCTCTAATATTAGCTAATCATAACTAAATAAGCCTTGTATCCTGCCAACAAAAGCGTGCCGTGCGTCTTGATTGGAGTCAGCACAGCTTTGTTCTCTCCTGAGCGCAAGTAATTTTTGATTTTCTATCACTCAAAAATCACAATAGTTCAGCGTTTACGAATTCAATTCATGTTTTACCGTGATTCTTCTTGAATTTATTATTCTCAAAATCAATATTCTGTAAATGAACTGATCTTCTAGGCCTAAGCCGCTTTTGAAAGCAGTATAGATTTTGATGAGAAATTTTTTCAAGTCAGCAAGAAATCTTCAGACCTTTAGCAGGACCAAAATTCCATAATTTTTGGTATCTTAAACCGAATCTTTAGGAACTTTAGGCTCTCTGAAGGATATTTACAAGTCAATCATTTGCTCATCTTCATTTTGTCAATAGCTTGGTTGATGGTAGTCTTCAACCCGAGAACAGCTACTCAGTCAACCAGTTCGCCGTGAATCTGTTTCTGCTCAAAGATACTAACTTTACTAATAATGTTGACATATTAGTAATAAACTTTCTCCTGGAAAGAATATATACAAAAACAGGTTCAATGGTGAACAGAACTCTGGCAAGAACTACAAATATTCAGTGTATGAGATTTTGGTGAAAGCATTTACACTTAGGAAAGATGTGTTAGAGAAGTGCTTGGTATAAATCAGTATTATGCAGATAAATAACCAGTACCCAATTCAAAATTTTATTTATTATCACTGGATGAAGATTAGAAACTCTTATTCCCACCAGCCTTCCGTTACTTTATCTTAGCAGTCTCATCTTCTATCCACTTGTGTAGGAAAAAAGAAGATAAGTTGATAAGGATAAGGATAAGGATAAGAAACTAAGACTACCCAAAAAACTTAAAAATGAAATTTATTAAATCAGATCGATAAGTGTGTGAGCTGGGTTGGGTGGTAACAGTACAAAAAAGCGTGCAACATAATTCAGAAAATCCAGACACTTTTTATAATAATTTTAAACTGGCATTTGGCAACCATACGCATGTATATATAAGGACTGGAATCCACCTGTGAGTGATGTGAATAAATTTGGTCGGCATGTTTTGAAAGTCAAACTCGAAGAAACAATGTCAAGCACTTTAATTTATTGTTTATTTATTAGTTTTAAACTTCTCAAAGCCCTAAATATACTATGTTGAGAAGATACTGGCTCCTGTTTAGGCGAAAGTTTTAAAGAAGGATGTTAAGATTAGCTGTTTATGAACTTTGGACCCAAAATAGTTGTGAAAGAAGCTTTCACCCTTCTAACGAAGGAAGGTCAACTTGAAGAAATATTTTTACTAAATGAAGAAACACAGGGTTTAAGTAGTAAACTGAAACTGATTAGAAAGAAAGCTGAAAACTTAGGAGACTAAGTGATACGAACCGCTTAAAAAAACTATTGCCGAAGCTGTCGCTTAATTTATGGATATCTAAGAGAAACTTATGGTTGAAAGGCTTTTCGAGATTCGAAATGCATTGAACCTTATACCAATTTTGGTAAAAGGAGTCTCCTGCGTTATTTTAAAGTGGGTTTCATTCAAAAAGCGACCAGCAAGTCACATTGCCCTCGTAAATATGGGTATGTAAGTACGATTGTAATTTGAAACATATTGGATTCGCTCATAAATGATTTGATGTTTAATCAAATATCGTTGTCACTGACGACGATGTGTGAAACTACTTACATACATACACACATGCACATGCCAATAACAAAAACAGCTGCACATGCAACCACAACAACAACTGCTGAGATTATAGTTTTTATTGTATTATTCGACGCAGCTCAGCCGGTTTTTGCGCTCCGTTTTTTATTTTTATTTTTCGGAATATTACTGCAGTAGCTGGCAGCCAATACCCGGAATATATGAAGTTGACATATTTTTTATGACATTCACAGCTGGCGTCTGTATCTGATGCATGCAAACGTTTTATGGCATTTTTATTTAAGCGCTGGCAAGAATACTTGATCGCAATGAAATCTATGTACATACATACATGTGTATGTACATACAATACATACATAAATACACATCTATATTAATAAAGTTCGCCTTTGTACGAAAAAAAGTGTGTACATATGGATGTATTTATAAGCACATAAAAACGCGCATAAATGAACTTTTACAAATATTTTAATGAATATTTGACCAATAAAAAATTAAGGCGAAAAATTACGGCGAATTTGTTAGCAGATTTAATCAAATAACGAAAACAAGCTCGAAAAATATATCTATATATGTATATTACTAAGTGATTGTATGTACATATGTATTCATGACTCACGTCATTGTCTTCTGCGTATCTAATTATTGTTTGTTTGCTCGCGAAAGTTCTTATCAATGTGAATTCCTAATAATTTTGATACAAAGTGGGCACATATACACACACATACTTGTGTTTATTTAGTATAAAGAGAATCACAATGAAAACATTTATTTTATGCTGTTTAAACCATAAATTTCATTGCTGCTTGTTCCAAATCACTACTAACGGCAAGGCGCGTGTTTAGTAAGCCGGTGCGAAAAGAATACTGCACAAGTAAGGAAGGGCTAAGTTCGGTTGAAACGGAACATTTTATACTTTCGCAACTTGCAAGGACCAAAGCCGGAGAAAATTCTTTCCGGACGCTATTTTCGATAAAAATAATAGGAATATGGAGTCCCCATATTCGGGTTCTAGGGGCTTGAACAATTATTGTGCCGATATATTCTTTGGTGCTTGATTCGTATACTGGAAAGTGAAAGAGGCAGATGTAACTTAAATTGAGTTCTATGGAAAGTGAGCGTGATATGGAATTTCATCTAAAGGTAGATTTTTATATTCCACCTTTTTTAAATATTTTTCTAACATTTTTATTTGGTTTCTATTCATAAATGTAATTTATTATCTATTTATCATACTTCCATACAATAAATGTTACTTACACGATATCTATACACATACATAATTACAAGTATATCTGATATATACTTGTATATGCACTTGAAAACTACTTTTGACTCACAAACATATTTAATTATGCCCAATAGCACCCGCGAAGCATTGTGTGCTTTAATTTCA